GAATTTGGTGTACTGGTGTACCCTCATCCTGCCAATGATATCTCACTGACTAAATCCTAGTAAGTCTTGGCTAAACTAAATGGTTGAAATACTGTAGTAGTGGCTGCAGGCAATGATTATCCTGGCATGATAGCAAAGATTTGCTTGCCTTGAAATAGCAACTTTTCACCCCCACCATCTACACTTAGAGGCTTAGGCCTAAGACGAGTAATTAAGACTGACATTATCACTCCTGTACCCTGGAGAAACACCAGGAAACTAGTAGGTGATGAAAACAGGTACCTGAATTGACGACAAGGGTTAAAAAAAAAAAAAAAAAAAAGAAACAAATATTTTTTTTGCTTTTTAACTTCTCAAAGTTCTTCACACATTCTTTATCTTTATTATAAGAATCTTAAAGAAATTAAAGAAATATACTGGTATATTGGGATAGGACCTTTGGCCAAAGAAAAGCAAGTTTAAGATTCTTGTTTTTTCTTTGAATTGCATGAAAAAAGACTTGTAACAATTACTTCTTTATAAATTTTCTTTAAAGTTCTTTCTATTTTTATTTCTTATTTATACATATTTTTTATTAAATAATTATATATATATTTTGGAGATCTTGATAAATCTAAAAATCAAATTATATATTAAAAATGTTTATATTGTTGACTTGAAGAACTAGCAATATATTTATTATTTACTTTTTACTATTATCCAATATATTTTGCTGTATTACAAAAAACATAAAACTTTTTTTCAAAAAAAATTTCACAAAAAAACTATAATTAATTTATTTTTATCAATTAATTAATATCTCAAAACCAACTAATCAAATACTATCAATTATTCAAACAAATCTATACTATCAAAACACTTATACTAATCAATATAAACAAAACCATATTTGATAACAACAATCAAAACAAAATTATATTATCAATAAACAAATCAATTATACTATCAATAAACAAATCAATTACTAATCATATCAATAAAACAACAATATAATTATTATAACCAATTGACTATCAAAAAAATATATTATCAATACTATTGTATATTTTGAACAGTAGCCTGACCATTTGTAATAAATATACACATATTGCATTTTAGTTAATAAACTATCAGAGTGATATGCTTTTTTGAAGCATTCTTAACTTTACAATTAATTTTTTGTATTTATTTCTTTGTTTAGCATTTTTTTCTTTTTTTCAATATTTATTTCTTATAATCTTTTTATACAAAAATCTGAGTAAGTATTTATAGCTACTTGGTACTATCTTTAACAATATATTGGTTTTAATATTTATTTTTCTTTATAACTTGGATGGTTTACTATAGACAAGCTAGTATTAAATTCACTGATTAACTGGTCATATGAGAGATATTGTTACTTTTTTCATGTATAAATTTTTTACAATTTTACAATCATAATAAAGCAATAATATTTATCTACTTAAAAAAAAAGATAAATAAATTATATTATAACATTAATTAATATTTTATATATACTAAATTATATTGAAATTTTTTCAGATATTAATTATTGCTATTAATTTTTTCTATTGAATAAAGGTTGAAATCAATATATTAAAATCTTATTTGTTATTATATTATTGATATATTTACTAATTGTTTTATTTTATTAAAAAAAAATTAAGTAAAAGTAAAAAGACATATTGGAAATAATATTCTATTATAATAAATAAAGTATCTAAGAATTTCTATTTGCTTTATTAAAGATTATCTTTCTTTATTATTAGTTGCAGTTGAATCAATTATTTAATTTTTTATCAACTTGAATATTAATCAAAACATTTAAGGTAAACCTATAACTGGTTTTTATTGTCTAAACAAACTTGTGCTTCTGCTATTAAACTGATTTTATAGTTAAATACTTTTTTAAGATAAATATTATCAAATTGAATTATTACTAAATTAAAATAAAACTTAAGCAAAGTTTTGTGAAAAAAATATCAAATATTAAAGAAATGATTATTAAACCTATTAGTCAAAAGCAGATACCTCATATATTATATAACTTCTTGACAATTATTATAATACCTATTTGATTATTATCACATTATAATATTTTTTTTAAAAGTCATAATCTCAATATCACTAAATCAGTATATAAAATAGTTCCATATAAAAAATAGTATTTAATAAGTTATGACATTAAATATAATATAGATTCTATTTAATTATTTTTATTAAGAATTTAATCAGTATCTTATAATCTGATTTGTGAAATATTAATTACTGTACTATAGATTTGCAAGTTTTTTAAATTTTTTAAAATTAAAATTAAAAATTAAAAATTGATTACAAATAAAAATTTTATAAATTTAAAAAATTTGTTAATTTAATCTATAGCTTTTTTATTTTTTTATAATATTAAAAATAAAATATAAAAGTTTATTACTTTGTAAATTTAAATAAAATAAATTTAAAAATTGATTAATAATAACAATAATATTATATTTTTTTTATAAAAAAAATTTCAAAAAGTTTTGTAACACACCGTATAATATATATTTTTAACAATTTTTTAAAATAATTTAAAATTTTTTTGAATAGATAAGGTTTTATTTTTTATAATTATTTTTAAAGATTTTAATTGTATTATAAATAACAATATTAGATTTAATAATAGACTTGTATAGAAAATTTCAATATTTTTTTAATCTAAAATAGATTTCTAAACTAAAAATATAAATATAACTTAAATATCTCTTATTATTAAAAAAATTTTTATGATTTAGATCACTTAATTCAAATATTTCTTGGAGTTTTGTTTTATTAAAGTAATGAGTAAATAAGTAATTATGTTTTCTTCAAAAGGATATAATTGATCTGTGAAATTTTTTATGTTATATTGTTTGGAGACTCATTTTTGCTTTAATCTATATTTATTTAACATTTAACAAATATGTGACATTAGTACAGTTAAATGAAATAAAAAAAAAAATTCAAAAAATTTTTTTTCGCCTTGTTAGTTTTATTTTGTATATTGAAATAATATATATAATTATCGTAATATATTTTTATATAATCTTGCAAAATATTCAAAACTATAAAGACAAATTAATTTATAATATTAAATCACTTATTTTTCCTAATAAAAAAATTTAAAGAAATCGAACAATGGGTTTTTATTTAACCAAACAATATAATTTTACGAAAAAACGTAAAGATTACGCCGTGTCCAAAATTTTTAAACAAAGAATTTTTTTACTATACGCGTAAACAACAATAATTCTTTATATTGGAAAAGAAATACACAAGTGCAACTACGTTATAAGATTTGATTTGGGATATACTGATAATGATAGTGATTTTAAAAAAAGATAAACAAAGAATCCCTGATCATCACGCAGTACACTTTCTTTATGTTTACTTATCACCGAGTTTTTCTTTGTTTTTTATTCCTTAAGTCGTTAAACAAACAATCCTGCGCTGGGAACTTGAGGGTAGTCGGTGCACGGAACTGATGATGGATACGTTTATTCCTGTATTTTCTTCAGTATAGAATTCCAACTTTCCATATTGTAATAATTTCAAAGCTGATCATGAGGTCATGTGATATGTCATAAGTAATAAAGGTAGCTTTGAGGGGATGATTGAGTTGCTAACAAGTATTTTTTTTTTCTCTTTTTGCTCGGCGTAAACGATACGAATACTCCGGTGCTAAAAAAGTTGATCTACTATTATTAAATGGGGCTTCCTTGTTGAAATGCCACAGCAGTTACTCGATCACCTGCACGAACTGTGTACAACGTGTTCTTTGTTTAGCCTGGGGTTTTTGGGAATTTAGATTTCTACAGCATCTTTTTTACATACAATCGCTTCGGGTTCTTTGATAGAGTGCGCACGTGCCAATCGATGACCCCCCTAAAAAAAAATTGAGCGAAAAACATACAAATAGATCAAAAAATTCTCTTACAATTTCCACAGGGCAAACGACAACCTGAAAATTGCTTTTCGTAAAATCTCCGTTAGCCATTGCAAAAAAAAATGACAATGTCCATAAGCACTCTACCAAAACTCATTTTGGTTAACATCTTTGAAAATTTTGACCAGAATGACCTATACACGATAATTTCATTAGACAAACGAATATTTAATGTCTCGATTTCGTTGTTGTACAAAAGACCCGTGTTTAAAAATATAAAATCTTTCGAGAAGTGTTCTCTTACTCTTTCCTCGTCGCAAAATCGTATAAATTACGCGTCTCTTATAACGCATCTTGATCTTAGCGGATTGAGCGAACAAGAAAAACTCGAGATTGTCGATTCAAAAATAATTCCGTTCATAACTTCTCCGTTATCTCGACTCCAGTCTATCAATGTGTTTGGTTGTAGACTCTTGACCAATGGTTTCGCCCGTGCCATTGCGTCAAGCAATTTGAATAGTTTGAGATGCCTAGAAATGGGTCGATGTGTATACATAAGCGCAATTTTTATTTCAGAAATTGTGAAATCTTGTAAAAATTTGGAATATTTAGGAATGCAAGGGATGAGACTTGAGCCGTTCGTTATTTATGGTGGTGATGACGAAAAGTTTGGAAGGATCGAGGCTTTAAATATTGGTTGGACCGAAAATCTGGCAAATGACATTGTCAAAAATCTTAAAAATCTAAGGTACAGTACATGCGTAACATAATATCTAAGCTAACGTGTCACTCACGTGCAATACCTTCATCCGGATATTAACATGCATGCGTAATTTACATCGACCTCTCTGTATGCACTAATCAGGGAACTCAATCTGAGCAAGTGTTTAGGCATGAATGAAACGATTCTCGAAAAGTTGACAAAATACATTCATCCCAGACGCACGTGCACATCAAATGATTTGACCATTTTAATAGCCGATTCTTTTGTGTAAGACTGAAGTTGGCGAGTATTCTTATCATTTCACTTGTACGCAATTGTAACGTAAGATATCAATCATCCTCTAAATTTTTGATCTTGCCTTCTTCACATTTCAGATTCAATATTCTGGTAGCCGCAGATTTATCATTCTATTTTTAATTATTTCTTTTTATAAATACAAATCATTTATTAAATGGTTCTGTTTTATTATCTATTGAGTCATAACTCAATTTACACGTGTAAAGATTTTTGTTGCTGGGATGACAATCCTGTAGGCAGGCGCTCTTTAATAACGAGATCCCCGCGCGCGGATAAAACATCAATGGAAATGCATTAAAACTCATATCATCTAAGTTTCATAAATATAAGATAACATGCCTAGGTAGAATTTTCGAATAAATAAAACAAATATTAATTAATTAGCATTGTGGGAAGAACGTACATATGAAATAATGATAATAAAATGAAAAAGATGCTCACATGAACGATGGCCACTTGTATTGCGGATCCTTCTTCATTCACGATACACCGTTCTTCGACATAATCTTCTCTTGAACAAATCTTTTTCTTATCCTTGGCATATCCTTCAGGGACTGTGATCACCAATTCCTTCAATGGCATCTTGTCTTCACCAACTGCCTTATTAACATCCTCCATGAAAAGCATGCTGAGAGGCCACAGCTTTTTATCTGGTGTACGTACATCCTGTCCTCCGATCACAAGGAAGCCAGATGGTGGTAATCGTTCATATGCTTCACGAGCCAAACGCACGATCGCTTCTCGATAGATGGGAATGACTTGTGCGGTTAACAGATTATTGGGAATGTGTGGTATAATAATTAATGCTGTAGGTGTCGGTGGTGGTAGCGGTTTGCTTTTTAGGAGCTTTTCCAGATGTGATATGTCATCAGATTCTTCGCCGAGGTCGCATTTAAGTCCCTGTAATCAAAATATTATTATTTAATGTCAATGGAATGTGTGTCGTGTTGTCAAGCTAACTTAAATTCGACAGACCAATGAAAGAAGCATTTTCTGATTTTCTTGAATTCTTTTCTGCCTTATCCGTTCGTATTCCGGCATGTCATCCTCACCTTCTTCTTTATCTGTTGGATGAAGAGATACAATGGTTATCTACAAAAAATTTTTTTAAAAAAACGTCCACCTTCTTCATAACAACATGAAACTGACCATCCTCATTTTTGTGATAAAAATGCGTGTTTTCATTATTGGCGGTATTTAACTACAGTGGAAAAGTGGATTTAAAAAAACAATCACTCACTCAACGTACATGAAATTTTGGTATGGCCTTACCTCTACATTATTGAATTTTATGTCTATTTCTTCATAATTGGCAAAATCCCTTCCAAACCTTTCAACCTAATTTTCAGGCGCCAAATCTTTATATTAAACTCAAACCCCATTGCAATTTCACACACACAAAGATAAGCGTACCATTCTCGACGTGCAGAGTTGCACAAAGCTATGCGAAGATGTGGGTTTAAATGTCCATGTTGTGCCCATAACAACGCTCTTGCGTGATATGGGAAGTATGGGAATTTCTCTCAGCGCATGCGTGAGCGTAACTTCCTTCTCCAGATCATAATTACCTGGATCAGCATTCAAACGCAAGAATTAATTGGTACAACACTTTAAATGCAATATTGGATCCCGCAAAATGCACGTACCTGGCGTAAATAACATCCGGTCATTCTTCTCTCGATCCACTTTTTTGAAGGTTGCGATAAACTCGTGTGTGAACATCAGGAAGTCATATTGCACACAAAGGTACGTGCCCAATCCGAACGCCTGACAGTATCTCTGTCGTTTTGCAACCTGTCAAGAATTTTTTGCAAGCGAATAAATCATTTCCAAATGTTGTGCTACGTCGCGTAATTCCAATATTCTCTTTTATTTATTTATTTATTTACCAGTTCTTCCAATTCGAATCCCTGATCCATATACTGTCGAAATAAATTAAAGCTAACTGGGACATAAAAGCAATGTTCCCGATTATCTCCGATTCCAAGGGTAACCCTTCTTCCTGGCTTCAATAATCTGCAGATAATGACACTTTAGAGACTCGATGATATTGACCTTAAAACCAAAAGGGTTGAATTCACCTACCTCCAAGACTCATTAATGACTTTGCTCATTTCCATTGCGAACTCTTTCGAGTTTGCGAATCTGGATAGATCTCCTTCAATGTGAGTTGAATATTCGACACTTGATAGAAGAGCAGAATATATCGAGTGAGCGTTTAGAAAGTTCCTTTCAACGAGCAAAAATAATACGTCGTTCAGACGAACCAGTTCTTGTACGGGGGATGACTGAGGATATGATCAAAAGTTTCATCATCAAAAATATTGCCGGTCAATTGTCGGGAATCTCCTTGAAGGATTATTGGTCGGTGCTCGGCCGTAATTCCTCGATTTGGTGGAATTGCAAACGAGCAATTTCTCTGAGATAACGCCACAGCAGCCTGTATCAAGCAAAAAGACGTGCGATGAGAATAAACAAAATCTCAGTGTCTGTCACAATTTCTCAAAAAACTTACGGGATTAATGTCTATACCAACGAGCCTTAGCGTATCAAAGATGTTAGCAAATTCCCTAATCAAATTCCAAATTGTGCTTATCCTAACTTACCTTCGACCAAGCAGGAAACACTCTATGGCATCGGTCCCTATAAATATACAGTTTTTCTTTAACCATCCCCCAAGATGTACACAATAATCAGGAATTAAGGTAGAAAAATAATAATAATAATATTTTTTTTTTTTACCTCTCCCGAGGAAATTTGACAGGATTCTGTCATTTTTCTTCGTGAAACGAAGCAAGGCCCTATTTTGATTGTTTTTTTTGCAAAATTTATCGATTCGTCGTGACCAGATCCGATCGTCCATCTAATGAGGATAACGAATAAACACGAAATTTACCTTCGAACCGTCTGTGGTAACCACGTTCCGTGATAGTCCGTGCCACTGTGTGTTGCCCCTACACAGTAAACAGTAAAAGATTAAGTTATTTTTCTCCAAAAAAAAAAGTAAAATAAAACTTTAACTCCTCACATCTAGGTGCTCTTCCTGGAATGTCGAAATATGAGCTATCAAAAGGTAAAGAAAATAATTGATTCTCCGCAGGCTCATAAGTATCCAGATATATCGCCTGGGATTCCGAATTATCGAATTTGGCGTCCGAACAAGAATTCCTCGTGAGATATGGTCGATATGAGTAATCCTCGCTCGTGACCATAAGTTTGTTGGCCTCTAACACGGATTCTCCGGAAGTATTATTGACCAATACTAACTCGAAACAATCCTCGCACATCAATACCCCGTTATATCCTGCCAAAAATTATCTTCCATTATGGTCATTGACATTAGGAAATCGATTTCCGTTATAATGGAATTCCCATACCTTTTCTCCAACGAGGTGATTCCTCGGACCAACAATATGAGCACTGGACCCGACCTCCTTTTCCGGAGAGCGAATTCTTGGATTTCTTGCGCGTTCCTGAAAAAAAAGAAAAAAACAGTTCAACATACTTACAGGTAAACTAAAACCGACTTTGCTCACTTTCTAAAATCATCGACGACTAACCCGAACTTCGAGCCTTCTGACTGGCTACGGCAATTGCTGCTTGCTTGGTGATCTGTTCGTCTTTTATCTTCTTGACAGCTATCATGATGACATCATCGAAAAATGTTAATCAAATGATCACTCGATGAATGGAAAAAAAAAAATAAAAAAAATAATAATATGAAAGCCTTGCTTTGCTTTTCGTTTACATACATGTTTCCTCGAACGCATCTTTTCCATGTTGATGATTATCCGGGAATCTCTCATCAAAACACTGATCACGGTATTGTTCAATTTATTTTGAGTGGGTGTGTTACATATTCTTTTTTTTTTCTTAATAAAAAAAAAAAAAAAAAAAGGAAAACATCAAGTCGTTCCCTTTATACCTGTGGGCATAAATCAAATGAAGAAAAAAAGTTGGACTCGCATGGCTTGCAAGTCCACCATTTGTCCGCTTGAAGTTCGCAAGAGCAAACATCGCATCTGTAAATTTCATTGTATATCTCTGACAACAGAAAGGTAATTTTAGGGACATTGTGTTAACATTTGGGCTTTCGAGTTTTGTGCGTAATCAAAAGAACAGAGAAGACGAACCTTTTTGAACGTAGCGAGCTTCGTGGGCCGGACAATAGAATATCACGCCCATCTCAAAATGGGAAAGGGGTTTGTCGGTGCACGGAAGATGGTAACTTTTTGCACATTTTGGTTCAAAGCAGCCAATCGTGGCTCCTCGCTCTTTGCACTTTCCACATTTCTTATGGACATCGGATCGGACAGGGCATGAGAAACTTGCACGTGTCAGCGTTTACAGGTGAGAACAACAAGAAAACCAACTACTCACCATGCCGCGACCTCTTTTCCACGCCAGCGTCACGTTATACCATTCACTCGATTTTGTGACAAAGACCTCGGGCGAATACTTTGCGCATGCGTAATGGCTCCAGAATATCTTTTGCTTTTCGCCGTGGCGCGTGTAAGTGTTTGAAATAAAAGGTTGTGGTCCAATGAATCCGCCAAGTTGTTGTCCGTCATCGTCATTGCAAAAACCACAGATTTTACGCGTGTTCCACGCCTTAAGATAAAGATATCCCATATCACTATCAAATGATACGTCATTATTTAAAAAATCAAAACCAGGGTCTTTATAAGTTGTGTCAAAAACGTCTTTATCAAACGTTTTGATAACTTCACCCTTTGATGAAATTTTAATCGCTTCGTCGTCAATCAGTGATTGAACGGCAAACGAACAACGAGGATGCTCGTGATAATTTGGGAATTGATGGGCGAAGCACCTACAAATTCGAAATTCAGTCAACATCCTTTTTCACATGAAGTCAGGCTTGCGGATATCCAGCACGACTTACCACACACACAGCTCAAAGCTTTTGTAGTCGTTTCCCTCCGAAGGCGTCTCACAATAGGTACAATAGTATCTAGGTGTGAATAGGAAAATTTGGAATGGTTTGGTTACTTGGTTGGATTCGGTGGCCATCATGAATCGAACAGGAAATAACGTTACCTGAACTGTTTTATGATCACATTACATTGGTTACAGTATATGCACCATTTTTGCTTTACTACCAATGTACAAAAAAATAAAATAAGATAATGAAAAAAAAGGCGTTGATTCACACTTGATCAAAATAAAACAAAATTCGAAATTATCGATCGGTGCTTCTTTACCGGGCAGCTCTTCGGGTAAGGTGTCGACATCAATGAACTCTAATTCCGACATAGAATCCTCGCTGGATTTTGATCTGATCTTTTTCTTGGTCGGCTCTTTTCTGCTCACGGACAGACACGACGCACTCCTGATGCTATGTCTGATCGCGCTCATCTCTTCTTTCTTTGATGACCTCGTGCGTAACCGATCGCTGTTAATATCCACCCACTCGTCATAAAAGGCCGGGACATCATTGTAGTGAATTAACACGCGACAACCCTTGGCCTCAATTATTGTGGCGGGTACCCATTCCTTTAATCTGTCCCGTGCCTCGATCAGTGTTCCCGGTTTGAATTGGGCTTTCAGCCGGTTGAAGGTATCCGAGTTGTCCAATAATTTGTCGTTGCGTAAACTACGTCTCGTATTACGTCCCACATAAAAGTCACTCCAATCAAATGAACTCAGAGAATCGGATGATTCACAGCGTTTACTCCGAACTTCCGAATCAACATCCTTTTTATTGTTCTTCTTTGTGGTTGGCACGTCGGATTGTGACGCGCTGTCACTTGAAAGATCCGAAAGACTTGTGAGACTTGAGGTGGATGAGCTGGAAAGATTGCTGCTGCTTCTCTTACGACGTACCCTTTTCTTATTCTGCGGTTTAAATATTATTTCATTCTCTTTAATTTTTTCGATACCACCAATCTCATTATAATTACTATCACTATTATTATTACTGCTACTAATATTCTCCGAGATTTTCTTTTCCTCCAACATTTCTTCCAAGGTCATGTCCTTAATTCTTTTACTTCCGGCCAATATCCACTCGTCAAACTTGTCGCTCCAACCTTCATAGTGCACTCGAATTCGACCGTTCTTAAAATCCACCATCATTGCTGAATACCACACGCCGTCGAAGCACAACACCTTTACGCGTTTGTAACGTTCGAAGCCGTATTGACCGCCACGTTTGAAACGAAAGGTGTCGTCGTCGTCGAAGAGCGCCTTGCAGTAGGGACACAAGTCGAGGCTACCAACTCTTTGGACGTTCAAATGCATAATCTTGCAAGACTCACATGGCGCCTCCTTTGGCTGACTTGTCTTTGCACTGACCTTTGGTCTTTCGCCGAACGACGCGTCTTTGCGAAAACGGGAATTGCGTCTCAGTGGGTCGGTATACATGCCGTTTTTTTTTTTAATAGTGTAAACCTTTGCAACAGTGAGAAGCGGAGTCCGAAGTAGAAATACTTTCAAGAGAAGGTACTGCTAAAAATAAAAAAAAACCAATCAAATTACTTTATACTTTCGTTTCTAACCGAATTCTATTATTTAAACTGTGATACAGATCAAGATAAATGGACGTTACATAAGATGAGGAGATGATCAATCAACAGTTAATGAGGAGACGCTTTCATTCTAATTCAGTACGACAGCATGTGCTAACTATGTGCCATGTCTGCATATTCTGCATGTACAGAAGTTAAATGTGGTATGAATCTACGGGTGTACCATTGATTTCATAATTTTCATTCCTATTATCGTGCTGACTTGTTTCCTTATACGCGTCACTTTCGCAGCAGCGAGAATGAAAGAATTCTTATTTTTTCTTTTATGCGGAAAAACTTTAACTTTATTGAAACATCAAAATGCCGGTACCCAAATCGCGCCGAAATTGAACATTTCTGAAAACCGAATTCACGGTTGCCGAAAAATGGGAAAGTAAAAAAAAAACGTGTAATTTTTTTCTTCTTTTTTAATTATTACAGTATTATTATTCTTATCGATATCGATAAGCTTCCAAATAAGAAGAAAACACATCGTGTCATTTTCGTGACATTAGGCTTACTCGATCCAAGGAAAATTGGAATCACGCACGAGTTTTTGTTGTTTGAAGCCACGAGCAAAAAATATTTTTTTAACAATAGTAAAATTTAGCATTATTACATTGTCATCCCTAAATGGAAAGTTATCGTCTCCTCGACTTTACAGTTTTGTGGGGTTTATCAATAGATCATCGGATCGAATACTGGTCAAATCTCGTTGGATGTAAAGTTTTAAAAGAATCGATCGACAATAGGATTTCCTTGGTGGACGGGTCCACAATGAAACTCATATTTGGAGAACATGTACAATGGTCAAATCCTTTGGAAAAAGTAAAATCGTGAGAACCAGAAAATCCGCAAACCAGCAAAAAACGTTTGGGGAATGACATTAATGACGCAAAATGAGAACACAATGTGCATACAATAGTAAACAAGATGACCCGATTTACGAGAATATCTTTAAAGGGTTAATCCCCTTGTTGAATAATGTTATATCCGTGAAAATAACAATGAGCAAGGGTTTATCAATTCTATCAAATTTTCACATTGATGATGTATTTGTTATAAGAAAAAGTCGGTTATGCATAAATTGAAGATGATGCCTCAATACGGAATGCACATGATGCGATATGCAAACTCACGTAATCCATTTGAAAGCATGAGCCTCCTCTTGCGGCCACCAAGTCAAAGTGATTGATGTGAATCGTCTAATAAAAAAAGGACGCATTTGACTTCATCATCTCAAGAAACAACGCGTTATCTCGTCTTCGGCCATTGATGTGAATTTGTCTGCCACCACGCGCTATCAATTGATTGTATGCCTGAAATTCCTATAGGTGAAGGACACGATTAAAATCTTTGATGTTTTGACTCAGAGTATGAATTCCCTCCTCTCAGACCAAACATGATCAAAAAAAAAAAATTACTTAAAACGAAGTTATGCTGTTGTATCGAAGAGTACGGGTAAATTTTTAAAGGTCAAATTATGGATCCAGGTTAAAGATAAATAATATAATATTTTTTCTCCATGAAATTATTATTCATAAAGTTATTTCACGAAAATGTTTCTCGCATACAATATTTTCGTATCAACGATTTTGGATTAAGTGCAATTCAAATTTTTCTTTTTCTCTACCACGCGACTCTTGATGAGCGTGAAAACTCGGTGGATCTCTGCAAAGTAAAAGCGAGTAGATATTAACAGACTTTCGGAATGAGAGGAAGTCGTAAATGTTTTAGGTAGACGGAAAATGGGTAACATGTATGTGTCAGGTCAACTGAAGATATGCGCAAACAATTATTTCGAGACCAACAAAAAGAGCGAATGGTTAATCATTCGGTCAACTTTGGCATTTCTAATTTTGCAGTGTATCTTTGCGATCATCAGGTCAACATAACAAATACAGTAGTTCTAGCAGTCACAAGCCACAGAACTTGAACGAGTTGAAATTTTATTTTATTTTGCAAGTTTTTTATTGATTAAATTAAAATCACAAATTGAAAATCGTTCGCCATCACATCCGAGCTTTCACCAAGGAAGATGAGTTTTTTTTTTTTTTTTTTACTCACATAAAAACTCATCACATCAACAACCTCAATTTACCCGGTGCATGGTCGCGTGGAAGTGATAGAATCAAGTTGCTTATCAACATAGACAGAAATGTAATCTTCGACTGAATCCTCAATGAGAAACAGTCATACCAATCGATACTAATTTTGTCGTAATTGTAATATATCACTTTGCACGAAATGTACACTCTGGTATAGCTCAACCATTGTTACATCAGATGTCTGTGATCACTTTGGAAAGATTTCATAGTTTCTTTTTGCAGCGATCCCGAATCCCCATATCTCAACTCCGCAATGTTAAACATGCGTAAGACGTCGTCCGACAAATTCGTGCAAAAAGAGACATCCAATTTGGCGAGCATTTTTAGTTTTTTTGCAATGTGATGCAAAGTCTCGTCATGAATGTTGCATCCACAAAGAACAAGCACTCGTAACTTTGGACAATGATCCACGATCTGAATGACACCGTCGTCCGTAATATTCAATACCCAACCAAGATGAAGTGCTCTTAGATGCGGCACATTCGGTGCAAGGTTTATCATAAAGTTGGACGTAATTTCTACGCAGTTGGTGAGAATGAGTTTACGAAGAGAACCAAACTGGCTGATGAGCGATGCCGTGTCATCTCGAACCCATTTGCAAAAAGTGAGATCCAATTTCTTTACATGATCTCGGTGCCTGGTAATCAAGTCCTCGAAAACTGAGGGTGTGATGCTGAGACATCTTGAGAAATTTAAGGAGACGAGCTGCTTGCAATTTTTCACGATAGCACCTATCGAATCATTGGTCAATGTACGACATTCACGTAAACAGATGTGGTTGAGCTGAGGGCAATGCTGAGATACCACCATCAACGCCGTATCCGTGATCATTCCGGCAAAGCTGAGATCGAGCTTTGTCAGGCAATTGCAACTTTTGATTAAACTGGTCAGTAGGTTGTCATCAAGAAAATTACATTGTACAATGTTTTTGAAACATAGTTCTTTGACATATCTTCCAAAGCGAGGTCTCGCCTGGAGACATTTTCGAAAAACCAAAATATCTTGATATTTCTTAAACCGTGGTGAACGCCATAACTTGCGAAGTACAATTTCATACATTGAACGACTCACAAAAAGACATGAGTAAAGCGTTCTCTGGTCAACAATCTCCAATACAAGTATCAGAACATCGTCGATCAACACAGGTGAAGACATGTTGGTGATAGGGAGTGCACTGTCCAATTTCCAATTCTTTTTATATACTAGTTTTATAATTCGATACTGGATTTACACACCAATCGAAATACGCGATGTAACAAACAGATCAATCAAAAAACAAATATATAATTTTATTTTTAGGTAAATTAATGCCCCATTATCGCATGTTTCTCTTTTTAAAAAAAATGCCCGAATCATATCATTTTTGGCAACAATTTAAAAGTATTCGTGCAACTGTGGATTCAAATTATAGAATCGGTTTCCGGTTTGAAACCGCAGTTGTATGAATAAAAAAGATACATTCGCAATTTACTTGTAACTAACTACTCATCCATTATGAATCCTATTACACTAGAGTTCATCATTTATACTTTTAAACTTTTCAAATTACATCTCTCTCTCTTCACCTGAATATAATGTAATATTTATAAATATAAATAGAATAATATACTGTGTAATTGAGCAATTAAAAAAGTTAAGACTAAAACCCAAACATATACTGCATATACTATATATCTACTGCATATCTACTGCATATAAAATAAAATCCAAGTTTAAAAAAAAAAAAAAAACACGATATTTTAAAGGTTATTTCTTTATAACCCCAAAAATAATATTTTAAAAATTTTTAATTAATGTATCTATCATATTAACATTAAGAAATGCGACTGTGTATTTACTCTATTATTATTACATATAATTTAAACTAAATATTTTATGTTTGTAAAAAAAAAAAAATATTATCGTTTATAAATTTTAAAATCCTATTTTTATTTAAATGAAAATAATTACTGTATTATGGTTATTAAATAAATCACTTAATATACTGTATATTAAATTTCAAAAACTTGCAATATTATACAATTATAATTAGCACTGTATATTATTTAAAATAAAATAAAAGCAGATTTTATCCTATAATATTCTTTAATGATACGATTTCTATTTATAATAGTTTCTATGAAAGAGTATCATGCTTTTACATATTATTTACTTATCCGGCAAATTCATTATGAAGGATTCTAGCTAGTATTGAAGACCGATCGTATTTTATTGTAAAGAATACCAGAAAACCTTCGGAAATAAGAATCGAAATGACAATATTGTTTCAATTCATAATAGCAAATTATTGTAAAATCACGACAATTATTATACATTATTCGTAATTAATTACTTTATATTACCAATGAGACTTCGATGCAAATAGAAGAGATCAAATCAATAAATATGATCAATCAATTATCCTATGGTTTCATAAGTGCAAATATTAGCAAACGAACATGATAGGTTTGAATGCAGCTGAAAAAACTTACGGAAGATTTCTTGGATTTGATTTGTGATTAGGATCAGTCATCGCACGGCATAACTGTAAGCCGAGAGAAAAAGCGACGTTTCGTGGGACCGAGTTACCTACAATGTTATTGTAGCGGAGCATGTTATCACGAATCATTTTAATTTCGCGAGGAAAAAGAAAAAAAGGTGACACGAACCTACGACTCGATACTGATCCGAAACTCGACCACACAAAATATCGGTTTCCAAGAAACCTTTGAAAATTATAAAAAGGTGAATAAGTAGAAACTTTTAGAAGTAATATCAGAACGCGTACCTTGCGCACGAGCTGCCTCCCTGACAGATATCACACGTGGCTCCAAGTAATGGACAATTTGTGGATACTTCAAAACATTGAGAATTAATATAAATGGTTGACCGACTGAATTTAAAGATAATTAACGCTAGGGGAAAGGATTACTTACAAATCCATTACATCCTGTTTTTAGAATACATGTGTCAGATGCATAAGCAAAGGAACAAAGCAACGGTATTATAAAGTAAAACAATAATAATAATAATAATAATAATAATAATAATAACTTACTCATAACCGTACAAATAGTAATGAAAACATCATCCCTATCAACACGTTGACAATATTTATAATTGCATAATGGATATTTCTTCATTTTTGCGTCGTAGCTCGCGTGTGAATGAATATTGGGAATAATATTAAGTTTTCGCGCATAATAGTAGTCACTCATTGGAGGATCTATTGGAACCCTTCGAAGTATCTCCTTGGATTTCAAACTGGTATAGTGCGTTCGATGATCGGGATATGCCGGGTCCCAATAAATTCCTGTGTCTATCTCAGGAAGATCACCAATTAGATCTTTAATGGTAACCATTGGGAAGCTTGAATATTTTTCGCATTGAAAACCTTGAAGGCTAAATTAAAGATACAGGTTAAAACATTCGAGATAAATCTGTCAGATGCTGAAAAAATTAAGAAAAAAAAAAAAGTAATGTGTGAGGAGCGTACCGGAGGGTGTTACCCATAGATACTAATTCTCTATGACTCAACGAACGTTTTGAATAATGATGAGTCATCGGCGGCATTTCGGGTAATACTTCTCCCTTGGCTTTAAAAGTGATGAAGTAATGTAAGCATCGCACAGCGAAAAAAAGAACCGTTAAACTGATTTCATGTAGCTTACCGGCGCCCCATAAAAATATTCGATTTCGTATTTGCACGCATCCTAAATGTGCGGCCGAAACGACATTGAACCTAATTTGGTAGCCTAAATCGAGCAAACATGCAAATAGTCGCATAAAAACTAACATAGATCGATGAGTTAATTATGGAACATGTATTCATTGCAATAAATAAATAAATAAATCATAAATTCAATTCACCTTCGGTTTGCGCAATCCTCGCTACATTTTCCAGCAAAATATATCGAGGTTGGTAGTGGTCCACAAACGAAGCCACGGAAGCAACTAGAGAATTGTTACTTTGACTTTTCTGATTCTCTTTATGTTTGTTCATGTAACTAAAACCTTGGCATGGTGACCCCGCGAGAATGATATCTACTTCATCCTTTGCAAAGAAGTTTGATCAGGCATTAAAAATGAAACGCGAAGTTTAATGAATGTTAAATATTTACTTTGTCGGGAATTTGAGTATCACCAGTACCAAGAATGGCTTGTGTTAATATTCTATTGACACTTTCATTAATTATATTAATATCGTCCCCTTGTGCATTGTGACGATAAGTTTTGAGAGCGGCCGAGTCTTTGTCTATGGCCCTATTATGATCGCGGAAGTTTAGCGAGAAATACTGTAAATAAGCAAAAAGGTACAAAGGGGTATACTTACCATTTACACTTAACGACACCAGCGTCCTCGAATCCCCGACCCAGAGAACCTCCGCCGCAGAAAAGGTCCAGGCCATTAAGTCTGTCGATGTGTCCGACTTTGTAATTATAATCCGGAAACTTTGAAAATAATGTTTTGCTTAATTTAATTGGCCTTATTGACTTATTTTCCCTGTCGTATTTTCGTGAAAAGTAAAACTGCAAGAAAAATAGACCCGGTAAATTAAAACTCGGTAAATGGCACTTTGGTGAAAATTATATACTTACGTGATTTCCAGATCCTTTATGCAAAATGTTTACGGGCAACGGTTTTCCAAATTCTATGAATTCCACGTGACATGCACGGACCACACTCCGATAACGATTGAAATCAAACACATAATCGGAGTACAGCAACTCGTTGACCGGCACTTTCCGAAAATTTTTCTCGGACACTTCACAAAACCGATAAAACCTCCTCAACTTGACAATTTCATTATCGGTATCGATGCACTCTATGCAGCATACGGTGTACAAGTCGGTGATATCACCTTTCTGGGGATTGATTAAAATACAATCCCCTACTTCGTATTCACGAGTGAACCTGTCGAAACGCGAAGTCCTGCGACGTTTACAGCCGCATATCAGGCCTTCGCCTTTGAAATTGAGCATCTCCTTTTGAAACGTCAGGAATGCACCATCCGTCTGGACGTGACGATAATAATAACGGCAAAAAAACGAAATTTCGTCGTACATATAACCTAGCGGACATTACAAATTTTGTTTTGCATATATTTTGAGATAACTTTAGTTCAATGCATAATTCTTTCGGCGGAGAAAAATAATATAATCACAAAAACCTGGGCAGCTTGACTCGTCATAATATATTTTTATTTTGCGAATTATATTATCGAGCGTCATGAGCGTCTCGGAATCACATTCGCAGTGAGTCGTAAAAAAAACTTCTTTCTTATTTTTCTTGCCAACATCCTTCTTAAGGTTACATAGGATGGTCTGTTTTCTGGTGTACAACCATACCAAACGAAACACCCCATTGCGACCTTCGCGCTTCAATTCGGTTATGTAGCTAGATTGATTTAAAGTTAAAAATGTCTGAAGCATGTGAAATCCTTAAGAATATTTGGGACATACCATAACCATCGGTCGTTGCTGCAAGATTCGTCGGGTTGAATTTCGACCGCGTCACCAACATTAAGTGTCACACCGTCTATTGTCACCTTTTCATAGAGTTGATCTTCCTCTGACATACAGCACTCAAAATAGGGGGTTTTCGAGTGATCGATTATCTTATATTGTTGGTACTCTTGGTCACTCTGAATGACCAAATATGGTGTGCAGTTGTATTCCCCTTCACAACAACTTTCGGCTTCTATATTCTGATCGGGGGCTTCTTAAAAAAAAAAAATTTTCAATTTAATTTTTCGTAAGTATCAAAAATATCCAAACTTGTTCATTTACCCAGTGGCATCAAATGCTGCGGAAATATATCGTCAAACCATTTGTGCACGAACGGCGTCACAACAGTTTTTTCGCCTGTATTGGACTAAAATTTTAAGTAATCAATTCAGTATGTTTCCGAACATAAAAATTCGAACAATAATTTGTGACGATAACTTACACCGCCCACCGCATTTGCCAACATGGGGCAGAATTCATCTAGACGTGGAAATCAAAATAGTTAGAACAATTAAAGTTTCCTGTTTTAACGCACGCTGCCTTACCACTAAAAAATTTAAGATCCGCATAACCTTCTCCGAGGTTATGTGCTTGATGCCATAGGAGATCAATATTATTAGCTACCACCGAACGAAAGTCGAAATTCCCCGACCTTCGCGCTTCAATTCGGTTATGTAGCTAGATTGATTTAAAGTTAAAAATGTCTGAAGCATGTGAAATCCTTA